TTTGATTGTGTAGTATTTCGTTGCTCATGCAGAAAATATTCGGCCATGAGGTTGTGCGTGGTGCCCAGAAACTGAGCCTTCCGAAAGCAGACGCTTCGAGCGACGTAAAGCGCTGGCTGCAGATACGCATGGCTTCGATGAAAGCGTATTTCGAGGCGAATGTGGCATTAATTCATGCTGAAAAACGGTACGTTAAAGCTGTTCGTTCTCCTGATGCATCCCGCGTTACGTCCTTTTTAGCATGCTTTTGAAGTCGCACTCTGTTGAAAAAATAAAGCAGTTAGAAGCAAAAGAAAAGTCACTCACTGAATGGCATACCGGCATGATGAACTCGTCCGAATCATCCGGTTCCGTTAGTGAAGAGGTAAATTTAGTCTTTGACCACATTAAAGTTCTGTTGGCACTGACCTAGTGTACAACATGCTGTTTTTTTAACTAAACACGGGTAATAGCAGCAGTTTGCTAGCATACATTCAACTCCATTATTGATGGTACTTATCCTGTTGCACCATCCAGATTTTGGTTTTAAAGCTTTGAGAAATTTTATGAAATCTTTTTCTAGCCTTGCAATGATTGCAACTCTTAGATGTAGTGGAAATGTTCTCTAGAGACATTTTTCACGTAAATTGGCATTTGTCTTAAATTAGTTCGTAGTCCGCCAGTCGGCCAGTTTGGATTTCCGTTTATCCTTTCAAGTAGGACAGCGACAAACGGTATCTCCAACGTTCTTGATCCCCTGCTAGCATGTGAACTTAAGCAGAAGATAACCTGAATTTGAGTCCTTCGAGACACTTACCCCAGATTATTCTTGGCAGTCTCGCTGTTCATCATGTAGTAGCTATTTCGCCTTCGTTTCTGGAAGCACTCACAAATCGTGCCCAAACCATCGCAGCTGTGAGTTCTCGCTGCGGAGAAGCAGCAGTTGTGCACCAAGGCTCTGTCGGCTGTCTGAACTCCTAACTCTCTCGAGAGGCGCGAACCTATCGACTCATCTCAGAAAGTCGATTTTAGTTGCTTTTTCTCATGAGATCGCTGTTTTTCACTCATGACCACATATAGGCATGAGGATGAAAATCCGAAACAAATTTTGTCTTTAAATTCATTGCTGCTTTAATCACAGCGGTTCGGGATAAATCACGGAAAACGTCGCTGGTCATGCCTGTTCGCCGGTTCATCTCTTCCTCAAATTTTTGATCACCTGTAAACACGACCCCGACGTACTTGAACTTCTCTGCTTCTGTAGCTGCCCCTCCACTATTCTGCGGTGTTGCCGCAGGCTTTCCAATAGTTGAACAAAGCAACAATTGTTAAGATCGCTATGGCCGTTCTCCCTGATCACGTTTCTCCACTCTTCATTGGCTGCTGCAACAACTGCATTGAATTCGCCCAGAATGCTGATGGTTACGTATTCAGCACATCGTTAGGAGCACCTACTTCGTTTATGAAAGACACACGTTGTCCTACCAAGTTAACCGAACAGACTTTTCAAAGGCGTCAAGGCTATCTCCTGTTGCTATTTAAGGCAGTGGATTGCCACTCTTCCGCTGACAGGCTTCCTTTCAGTGATTCGTCAGTCAGGTTAGGTTCTACAGATAACTAGCACCAACTTAGGTGCGAGCCGTAGGAAAGAATGAGGGTAAGCTCATAACCGCTGGAACTTCAGTCGTAATGAGCCATTTCTTGTGCCCTTCTTTTAAAGAAGTTAACGGTCGGGTGCCGATATATATTGTCATATTCATCCTTATTTTTTAAAGGCATAGTCGACAGCAGCTTTGTGGCAAGCATATTGTGTAATTTCCTGTTTCCTTTCCTCACAGGGGTGCTCAATGATCAACCTCGTAAGGAAGAAAGGCCGACCGGGACTACAACCACAGACCTCTCTGTTCTGAGTCCAATGTTCTACCGACTGAGCAACCCTGGTCTAAAGCACCGTGTGGTTAATCCTTGCTCATGGGAATTTGTTTTTACGATGAAGATTGCCCTCTACCGGAGTCGAACCCAGTACCTCCGGTGTGCTGGTCGTAGAGTCGAGGCCTGAGTAGAAATGTTCGTTCTAACAGAGGTTCAGAATTTCAGAGCTGTGGTGTTTCGTTTACAAGAGTTCAGTTATGTACAGTTTTTACCTTGTGACTGATCAACGAACTTCTGCTTCTTCCCTCTGGCTGATGAGATGTTCTAATTTCTGACTGGAAGTTGCTGCTATCGCTGTCTTTCTAGAACCTTACACGACTTTCACTAATGACATCGCGCTGTCTGCCTCGTCTGTTCAGAACGGATAGTGACTCCACTGCTGACTGTGTTTTCCTGATCTTCGTATAAATATTCTTCAACGGTCGCTGTACTGCGTCGCCTCCCTCGCAGCTGCCAGAATTCGTGAAGTGGGTTCTGATTGCTAACTTCATAGTTTCTCTCATTCTGGCAGCAGTCTGTGCAACTCTTAGTAACCGGCGCGACGAGGGTATAGCATTCGTTGGCGTCAATGCCATGACGAGCAGTTTGATGAGTTTTGCAGGAGTCTTCACGACGGTCGAAAACCTTTCTTTTTTACCTGAGCTGGGATCTGGCCGAGTCAGAGATAACGTTTCTTGTTGCGTCTTTGTTGCGTGTCTTGTAAGTTTGCAATTTTGGGCATTGAACGATTTTTCTCAGATGCCATAGAAATGCGATGGAGACATTTCGGTCAAATTAATGTTTTATTGATCGCTCTCCTTATTAATTGCCAGAAGAAAGATCATTATGAATTCGTTTATAGTGCTGTTTTTCCTTTGATGAATGCTACTAACAAATTAACTTGATGACCAGAATATCTTATCGATTTTTTCACAAAAATTGTTGAGAGAATATTTTTCGTTTTACTCGAATAGTGAACCAATAAGGAATCTGGCCTGGTGCAATTGTTTTAACTTTTACGTTCATGTCTTCGCTTCTGATCACTTGATGACATTTGTCATTGTCACTGTCGAGAAGTTTCGTTGTACTCTCGTGTTGACCTTATACCGTGTGTATTATTATGTTGTTCATTGAGCCGCAGTGACATATTCTCAGACAATGCAATAATTTCAGATGAAGAAGGTGGTCGAATTGAATGCAGAAACTGCGCGAATTCAAAAGGAACTAAGGAAGATGAGAAAGAAACGTAAGCGATAGTCGTATTTCAGGCGTTTTGATTGAATTACCACTCTTTAAATACTACCTTATGTATGCTGTCAAAGACTCATTGATCGTTAGCCGTTTTTCGCAATCTGCTGTATTAATCTCTGTCAGGTTTGCGAAAATGTTTCGAATTTGTAAAGAATTATATTCCTGCTTCATGTACCCGGAATAACTTACCACAGAGTACCCCCTTCGAAGCCGTGAAAGTATTGTAGGGATGAGTTCTGGTTAGTCACCTATTGAGAACGGCCTGATACGACCGCTCAGTGGCCTCTTTTCTCTCTATTCCTTTCAGAGTGCGCATTGGTTTTTTCCAGGTATGTGTTGTTTCTTATGATGTTCGTAATGTTTATGGGTTGAATCCACAGGCAGTCTTTGCACAGAGAACATTACTGTTGAAGAAGTCTACCTGAGGTATGTGCTTTTTGCGGATGATCTTTGATGCATTTTCGGTCGCATCGCTGCTACATGCGATGAAATCAGGATGAAAATGAATATGACCCAAACCAAAGTTTTCGCACTTTCAAGAAAGACTTCTAATTGTGAAGGTATGCTGAGTGTACCTGAGAGGGAGATGTTAAGTTTTTGTATTTAAGGGTAGCTTTCATGAGTGATGCAGGCGGAACATGAAAATGGACACACGGCTCTATCAGAGTAGGACAATAATGCGAAGTTATCTGGTTCAACTTGATATGCGCTCCTATACTCGTAATTGATCATGAGTACTGGATAATGACATAAAGAGTGGGGCGTCAGAACGACAAAGTGGTTTCTTTGACGAATTACTGTGGTGACGAGACTCAAAATGCTTCAGAGCATGGGTCAGTATGCGATGGTTTTGACAGTTGATCAGAATACTGTAACATTGGTTTCCAAGCAGGACTCTCATTACAGAACCACACGAAAGGCGTCCTACATTTAGACTGGAGTCCGTGTGTCTGAATTATACTGAGTCTGGCATTGTTTTATCTTGAAATACAGCCAGTGGTGTTTACCTAGTTTGAGGAAAATCAGGTTCGTTTTTAGCACCTATGGAAGCTGATGCTGCCGAAAATCAGTTTTTTGGTGATGTTTTTACCGCTGGAGTTTTCAGACAGTGTTGCTTCTATGGGCACCTTAGGAATAAGAGATTGGTACATTGCACCATTAAGTCTGGTTGTGAAGTATTTATGTGCCATTTAACGTGACATGAAAACATATTTTTACGTTTATACTGAACCGTAGAGTGAGTTTCGTCTATTGAAACATTGTTCTTGATGAATGCGAGGCGGTTCTGGCGTACAGAATGTTGCAAGATGCATATAGCACCGCAGGTC